TCGCACAGGGCGCCTAAAGACCTAAGGCCGGCCCTGATCAGTATTCAGTGAAAGCTTACACTGGTTATCAGTATTTTGTTATCTTTACAATGGTAGGGATGCTTCAAATTTCTATGCCCTTCTTATACTGTATGCTTTATTGGGTCCTGCCAAAAATAACATTAGCAATATAATTAAGAATTAGATAACACACGTTCCACTACTTAGGGTGGGTGTACAAATGCAGACTAAGCGATCTCTGTTGCAAGGAAATGTAAATCAAGAAAGTGAAAAAGCTCAAACTTTGCATAGCTATTAAGAGAAATATCAACATAAGCAGTTTTCGTGCCTGACTGCTAAAAGACAAACACTGCATCGCTGGATGTGTGTAATTGAAGCTTGGAGAGAAACAACTATGACAGGACAACTCTTTATTAACATCGAAGACTCTTGTCTGCACGTGGGAAAATAGCAAACAATTTATGTGATGGCTTTTAGCTACTAAGAAATACAAATTGCACAGATAACCATATGGCATTTCTGAATGGAAGGAAACATCATTTACAATGTAGCCATTTGTTGGTATCAAGTGACCTAAATGACTTTCCGATACAGAAGTTTACATACATTTTCATTTCTTGAGTCAACAGTGATGGATCTTGGCCTTTGTCGTTAAGGCTACTAAGTCGCCCAACAACCCTGAAAGTTGTGTTTGATGAAGAAGAGAACTTTAAAACGATGTTTTAGAGGGCATGTCAAAGTACTTCTCATATTGTTTTTATGTGAGAAAAAGCCAATATGCTTTAGTTCATTAAGCAGCCTCAGAGAACCTCTAAACGAGTAATCCGTTAAGCCAAAACAGCTAGCCAACTGAAGATTTGAGAAGGCCACCCCTAGCACTTGGTAGGAGCCCCCCAAAAAGGGACTTTCCATTTCCTTTGCAGAACTAAAGCTGAACTCCAGAAAGATATCAAACAAGCACAATAATTCAGTCTACATTCATTAACACATTAAAAGTGCAATGCCCTGTACAGCACAGCTCAGATTAAAAGATGGAGAAGCAGCACAAGGCGTCAGTCAGTTGTGCTGTTGGGCTCATTTGCTGACAAGGAATATTTGACAGAGACATGAGCTTATCAGCCTGCTGATTCTCCTTTCACTACCCAGTCACAGGTTGGATGAGAGAAGGAGACCTGTAAGTGTCACTTTTCTGCAGCCGAGAAAAATCATGCACCCTGCCCTTCAGAAAGGGCTGTGCTATGTGTCAGAGCTGTACAAACCTCAAGACCGACTAGACAGAAATAAAAATGTAGCAAAACAGCTCTTACATATGTATTACATCTGTGTAATAAGCTCTTTGTCTGCAGTTTAGCTTTAAAGTAAAGAGGTCATAGGAGAATGACTGTCGGCTTTACAATAGAAGCGATCAGGCGACTCAGCTGTCGCCCGATCGCTTCTCTGGGCCGGTAAACGGGGACCGGCTTCTCTGGTGTCGGGGGGAGGAGTTGGACGAACCTCCGATCACCGATCCCCTCCCCGTACTATGTGACTGGGAGCGATGCAGATTACATCACTTCCGGTCCCATAGCTGTCAGTGCTGGGCGACTGAAGCTCAGCAATAAGGTATTGATGTGTGATCTGCACTTTAATAGCTTATTTCAGACCTCCAGCATCACCTTAAAGAGTACCTGTCATCACCATCTGCTATCACATGGGGCGCTTGTAAGCCCCCCTATGTGATAGCAATTAAAGTAAATAATAACAAAACAAAACAAAAAAAGAGTTTTTAAAATTAATATTAAATTAAATAAATGTAAAAATAATAAAAAACATTTTTTCAAGTCGCCCGCCCCCACGAGTTGTCACGTATTCGCGTGATGGGTGCGCCTACGTATGAAAACAACGATCGCGCTATTCTACAGGGCCTAGGCTTTCAGAAAATATATAATGTTTGGGGGTTTGAAATAATTTTCAGGCCTAAAATGTGGATTATAACATGGGTACAAAAAAAACAACAAAAAAAGGCCTCAGTCACTAAGGGGTTAAACCGCCTCTCTTCTAACCTCTTGTTGTGTCCTCGTGTCATCAATATAGTTTTCGCTCTAAACATCTTATTCCGAATATTGTGGTCTCCATGAATGATTTTGAAAATTGCAATTAGGTCGCCTCTTTTTTAAGGAGAACCAGTTTAATTCCTGGAGGCAATCTTCGTAACCCAGGCCAAACATCCCCTTTGTTAATTTTGCAGCCCTTCTCTAAACTCTATCGAATTCGAGGATGTCTTTGCTGAGGGTTAGCGACCAAATCTGAAGCACATACTCAAGATGAGACCGATCCAGTGATTTATATAATGTTTTTACATTTATATTCTTCTTTTGCAGGGAGACAGTTTTTACATATTGCAGACCAAGTAACAGAATCCTTTTAAGATTTGTGCTATTTTTATACTCATTTTCATACAGAAATACAGTTTTTACTATATAAAAAGGTGTCAGAATAAAGTAGTGCAGCTGAATCCGCCTGTTTCTAGTTTAGGTCAGAAATGTAAAACTAACTCAATACAATTGTTGCTATGGGCAACAACCCTATCTTTATAATATCCTTGTTTTGATAAATCTGACGCATGTGCTTCAGACAGTGCTGCATTGGTAGATTCTATTCTGCATGCCGACAGGTAACAGGCTTATGTTTGAAAAGTATTTTGTGATTTTTTGAAAAATGCAAATATATATGTACATAAAAAAAATCAAAGATTTACAAACCTGAAGAGTAGACTCACAAGCATCTTCTGCATTTTTTGACATTGGGATAACAAGCATGTTTTGAAGAATGAAGGCAGCCTAGAAAAAAACAACAAGATTTCAACATTGCCATCTAGCTGAATCTGTCATCAGTTGCAACCAAGCACGCCAATGTACTGCTACTCTGAGACAAGCATATACTCAACCTCTGTTAAACCAGTGTATGACAGTTTGTAAATAGACTACATTTTATTCAAAGGGAAAAAAAAATCAGACTAGATGGGTAAGAGGGCACTCCCCCGTAATATTATACTCTCTAATTAGAAACAATGACGAACGCCATTAAAAACTATTCTGCAGATAAAGAAGTTAACAGTATGACATGTGAACATTTCATTAAAATGAAAGTTTGAGTCATATAAATACATTTCAATACCATCTTACCAATTAATAGAGGATAAGAGCAAAGATTTCATTTTCTAGAACTTCAACACTGGCCATACACCTTGCAATTCAGATGTGCAAGCTCTATTCAAAAATATGTGGCAGAAGCCCTACCTTACCAATCCACTTAATGTTTGTATCTAGTTAAGTAGGCTTTCATACTACATAATTGTTGGTAGAGCTAAGGAAGATTATTCAATCAGATTGCAAGGTTTATGGACATCTTAAAGAAGAACTCCTGGGAAAAAAACAGTATTAACCTACGCAGTGGGGCTACCACTGCACTGCATGAGGTGAGTGGTTTTCACTCACCTCATAGTTCTAGCCGACCTGTGACAATGAGACTGTCACAGGTCGGCTCAGTAGATCGGGAGGTGAGCGAACACATACCGGCGTTCGCTCACCTCTCGATCCTGTCACGGCTCTCTGCCGTGACAGGAGAGGGGCTGGATTCCCCCCTCCCCGCTCTGATCCGCCAGCGCTGACTGGCGGAATGGACAGGGGAGGGTACAGCTGGCTCTGCCTCTAGATAGGCAGAGCCAGCTATCAGTCACGCAGCTTGGCGGATCCCGGCACAATTGTCGGGATCCGCTTCAGCTGCGGCGCCTCAGTATACCGCAAGCAGCAGCTCGCGGTATACTGCGGCGTCTTAGTATACCGTGAGGTACAGCTCGCGGTATACTGAGCCTAGGGTGACGGGAGGACGCTAGTTTGTGTCCTCCCGTTACCCTAAGGAGAACTATCGGGAAAAGCCTTAACCCCATAGTTCTCCTTTAAGTGCTCAATTGCATCCGAGTGCTAAAAAAAAGAGAAGTTATACTCACCCAACTGCTGAGCCGACTCCTTGCTTCTCCAGTCACTAAAGCGTGTCTTCTCCTCCGCTGCACTGGTCGAATGTTTCTCAGCATCCTCACATCTACTTAAACACTTGTATAGATGACACAATGATTCTTAGACGGCTGTAGAGGAGGGAGAGAGAGGCTCTAGGGACTGGTCTAAGAACAAACTGGCTGAAATGATTGGGTGAGTATAACTTTTTTATTTTGTTTTAGCTCCTAGACACAAACGAGCAGTTTAGCCCCACTGTTAAGAGTTAATAAAGTTTTTCCCTGGAGTTTTACTTTATAAGTGACCACACACATTAAGCCCTCATTCACACCAGAAAAGGCCAGCACGTTAGCTCCGTGCTGCATGCACGGTCGTATCGGGCAGCTCCCGGGAAGGACAGGTGCTGTGTGTGATTAGTACGCAGCCCCCTTGGTTCTCTATGGGAGTAGGCGACCATGCGCTGCCCTACGCTCACCCACCCTGCACGTCTGTGCGGGTGTCCGTACTCGTATGCTGACAGAATGGATCCTGTCTGTGTCCGAGCCGCGTACTCCCATAGAGAACCAAGGGGGCTGCGTACTAATCACACACAGCACCTGTCCTTCCCGGGAGCTGCTCGATATGGCCGTGCACGCAGCACGGAGGTGTACGTGCAGGCCTTTTATAGTGTGAATGAGGGCTAAACGTTTCTAGCGCATCTACTGCACAGGGGGAAAAAAAAAATGAACTAAGATCACCCACCACCAACACTTTAGTTCTTATTACAGTAATGATAAAATATGTTGGTGGTAGGTCATTCTTGAAATCGAAAGTTAGTTGAAAATGGTTAAATTTGCCTGAAAAGTACTGATTTATGTTAGTCAAACACTATGCAATTTTAGATCTGCTTTCAGTTACAAGCGCCTCCTAGTTTCAGAGACCAGATGATCAAAAATGGAGTGCAAAGCAATGGAAATCATCTCAATGACACTCGCTGATGTTCATGGCCTCCCTTAGAAAATATTTGGAGATAGTTTGTAATCACACAGCAAAGTATCTTGGTAAACTAAGAGCTGCATATATTAGGTGTCAAATGTTAGTTTTTTCATAATGAAGAAATCTTCCGGCACTGCCCACAAACCTGTCATAGGACCTATGCAAATAGTAACATTCTCACAGTCTCTATTTGAACACTTATAGATACCCCAAACACGATAGAGCCTTGGCCAGCTGAAAGGTTGCTCAGGCCTCAAGCATTGCACTACTTACTGTATACACTGACAGACTGTTGTGCTCAGTTTTTATACTCTGAGATATCAACAAGTTTGCTTTAAATTATGCATTTAATAAAATTATCATTATAATTTTTAATTTTGTTTACTACAGCTAGTATTAGCAACACAATCCTGTAATTCCCTACACAGCGGAAAGAGGCAACAACGAAAGCTAATCAGATTCGACGGTACTATACGACGCTTTCAATGTAACACCGTAAAATGAGGAGTAGGACAAGAAAAGTTAGAATGGAATACATAGTAATTACATCATTAGTGTGGTGAAACTTCTTCAATGACTAATTGGCATCCCAGGGAAGGGTCAGATACAAGCAGTGCAGAAAAGTGAAGCTGTCAACCCAGTCCTGTCTAGTAGGAATTAGAACACTAGATGAACAGAACTGCAAATCATTTGACAGGCAAGATTGTTCTCTATATATTTTAACTGCGAAGTTAGCTGTTTGGAGTACATGAAAAGCAGTTGCTTGAGAAAGCTACAAAAGCTGTCAACACATAGCTGCCTATTTGTATGCCTCTTTTATATGCGACTTGGGTACTAGTTACATGGAATTACTATGCGATGACGGCTTCTCAATGAATATACGTGTTCAGTTGGCACTTCCACTTTAGGAAAATGCGTTGAAAAAATTACCTATACAAAATTACCTATAAAAAATTACTATCGCAGCCCACAGGCAATTTGAATCTGATCATTCTGAAACATTCTCAACATGTACATTCACAATCGAAGGCCAATAATCAATCCTAAAGCTTAAAGTGCAGTACCCAAATGGCAAAGGACAATGTCTGTAGTGACAGAATGCAATGACACTGTCACATGGCTGCCCCAAATTAAGTAATGCTTAGCTGACAAGAGACGTAAACCCCATACAGCTTGTGGTACACTACGGCCAAATGGAACAGAGGCTCCTTATGGAATGTAAAAATAAATCTATCTACACAATATATATACAGTATATATATATATGAGATATATTCCGATACTAGTAACGGTACCGATACAGGGCATTTTCACAAGTACCTGCGCTATAATTTTTTTTCTCAGGTAGCTTCATGCTGCCCTGAGGTACCGCGCTTGTTGGGGTCCTCTGGTCAGTCTGCCGGGCAGCTAAGTGAGGACCTTACTGGAGCGCCTCCCAATAGCCCGCCAGAGACGCGGGTGTCAGAAGGGATGGGGCCTGTGCTTGGTGCATGTTGTCAGCACACTGACAGCTGCAGGTGAGGCCAAGAGCCGGTTTAACTGGGGGAAGTGGGACAGAATTGAAGCATGGGACAATTGTAAATGTATTGCTGCAGTGTACTGGAAGTGTGTACTGTATATGTAGTGCATATACAGTACACACTTCCAGTACACTGCAGCAATACATTTACAATTCCCCCCTGCTAATATGAATAGGTTAAATGATCCATAGTACAACCACATATTATGTACTATGGATCATTTTACCTATTCATGTTAGCAGGGAAGAATTATAAATCTATTGCTCCAGTGTAGTGGGAGTACTGTATATGTACAATGGATCATTTAACCTATGCATTTTAGCACGGCAGAATTGTAACTCTCTTACTACAGTGTACTGGAAGTGTGTACTAGGGTAAATGACCCATAGTACACACTTCCAGTACACTGCAGTAAGAGAGTTACAATTCTTCCCTGCTAACACAAATAGTTTAAATGATACCAGAAGCAGATGCATGATCGGATTTGGAGCTTCACTAGAGCTGTAGTGCGGAAGTTGCCTACCCAGGGCCACATTTACCATTTGTTCTGGTTTTACAACTTTGTGAAAGTGCTTTATTGTTCTAAAACAGTCTTTTAAATTAAAGTTCTTCATAATCTGGCCTAAAATCATTAGTCTATGTTGTTTTTAAAGTCACCTGTCCCTTTAAGAAAAAGTATCAGTAATTGGCATCAGCAAGTAAATGAGGGGATGTACTTGGTCTTGAAAAAGTGGTATCGGGATATCTATCCATCTATCTATCATATAGATATATACACACACACACATATATATACACAGGTGAAACTCGAATAATTAGAATATCGTGCAAAAGTTCATTTATTTCACTAATGCAACTTAAAAGGTGAAACAAATATATGATATAGACTCATTACATGCAAAGCAAGATAGTTCAAGCCGTGATTTGTCATAATTGTGATGATTATGGCTTATAGCTCATGAAAACACCAAATTCACAATCTCAGAAAATTAGAATATTGTGAAAATGTGCAATATTCTGGGCTCAAAGTGTCCCACTCTAATCAGCTAATTAAGCCATAACACCTGCAAAGGGTTCCTGAGCCTTTAAATGGTCTCTCAGTCTGGTTCCGTAGGAATCACAATCATGGGAAAGACTGCTGACCTGACAGTTGTGCAGAAAACCATCATTCACACCCTCCATAAGGAGGGAAAGCCTCAAAAGGTAATTGCAAAAGAAGTAGGATTTTCCCAAAGTGCTGTATCAAAGCACATTAATAGAAAGTTATGTGGAAGGGAAAAGTGTGGAAGAAAAAGGTGCACAAGCAGCAGGGATGACCGCAGCCTGGAGAGGATTGTCAGGAAAATGCCATTCAAAAGTGTTGGGGACTTTCACAAGGAGTGGACTGAGGCTGGAGTCAGTGCATCAAGAGCCACCACACACAGACGGATCCTGGACATGGGCTTCAAATACATTTTAAGTTGCATTAGTGAAATAAATGAACTTTTGCACGATATTCTAATTATTCGAGTTTCACCTGTATGTATGTATGTATGTATGTAGATAGATAGATAGATAGATAGATAGATAGAGAGAGAGAGAGAGATACACCAGAGCATAGGAAGATATTGTATTCATGATGGACAGACAGGCAGGCAGACAGATAGATTTGTATCTTAAAGAATGTAGGACAGCTACAAGTTCAGTGATTAACAGTAAAGTGCAAAAATGGAAAGGTTTTAATCCGGTAACAAACCTGTACAGTTATACTGATCTGTCTATTTTAACGGCATGCATTTTCCAATTCTAAATGTCCTTTGGGGCCCAATTAGTGCACTTAGCCATTGGCAGTAGTACACACTGAAAAACTGCAGCCACCGTCCCTCCAGATTTTAATTAAGACTTATGGCTGATTTGGGCCCAAACATGCAGTGATTGGGGCCTGTATGCAGTAGAACGATCAAACTGCCTATCCAAAGAGTCCTATTCAGTGACAGTGTTATTTACATGTCAGTTACATAAATGGCCGTACACAATCTACTGCTTCAAAATTGCTGCAGCTTTATCTCATTATTATCCAGTAAATAAAAGCCCCCATATCATTTCTTTCAATAAAGACACAATCTGCAGCATGTTTTCATTTGCACTGGTACCATTAGTTCTAGGATAACATGTTTTATTATTTGGTATATAGTGATAATAAAATATATATTTTAATGAGTAAATGTTACCATAGATTAAGAGATATTGTTAGCCTTATGTATTCTAATATATATTTAGTTTATGTTATGGATACACACACAGACACACACAGCCTGCCATTGATGAACTCTCCTTTTGAAAATACTGGATTCCTTTCTAGATACTTTTCTCAATCTGAATTACGGACCCAAAACAGGTATTCAGGTCAGAAATCTTGACTTTTATCTGACTTTACTAGCTGTATGCTTGTTGCAGATCAGTGACTCACAGAGGTCAGAGAAATGAAGCAGCCAGGCAACTCGTGTTTGCCAGAGGAAGTCACCAATGGCATTCTCCCCATTTCTCCCAGTACAAGTTTTCATTAAATATTGTCATTTCAAAAATTGTTTTTTTACATTGAAGAAATTAAAAGTGTCAGTCTAAAGAACAGGTCAATTTAGATATAGTTGTGGACTGCCATAATTCCTACCCTCCTATTAACCTAGATTTTGTTTGTGTTTCTACCACCCTTTGTGTATTAGTTCCTCCTGCTAAATTTTTCATAATACAAACTACCTTAAAAAAAAAAAAAGAAAGTGGAGCTCTCTTGTAGAGAATAGTGGAACTCTCTTGTAATGGTCACACCTGGTATGCAGACCCAGATATTCAAGCACTGGGATCTCATCAACAGGTTGGGTCGTTTGACATTTCAAAATTTACAAAATCATTATTTCATGGACTGATCCTTTCAAATCAGATTTGAATATCTTTATAATATAAACCTACTACTAAAGCAATACAACTCACCTCTCTGCGCACCATGCTGCATTCATGCTGCTCAAGAAAGATACTTAGCACTGTTCCCCATAAGCCACCAGAAATGTTTTGACAGCTGTCCGACAAAGTAACACAACCATCTTTAATTGATGTCAAAGCGGACCCAATTCCAAGGCTAGTAAATCTCACCTGAAACAAATATTCAAAAATATACGAAATTAGATACATTTGTAGACAGCCAAAAGTTTTTTAAATGGGCAAACAGTAAAATATACAATTGAAATACATACATGGTCACTGTTTTACCTTCCAATAGATTAGTAACTCTGCTCGTCTAAGTCCTATGTTCCAAGGACCCCCGCCAGATAGGGCAACCAGGTCCTGCATTCCCTGAGACTTGTCAATAAGTCTCAGGGAATAATACACTGCAAATGAGAAACACAGCCTAGACTAACCCCAAACTATCACTGGACAAAAAAAAAGGCAAAGCAGCACAATAAGGTCCTTACTCTGCTCTCTGCTTTCAGGAAAATTTAAGATTTAACTGCTTTTGCCAGCTTTATGTAAAAAAAAAGAATTTAGAGATCCTTGTATGGTTCCATGACTATAAAAACACCTAACTTGCTTGTCCTGTGTGCACAAGCATTTAAGCACCTCAGAAGCTAGCCTCATGGAAGTCAGTCAAAGCAACACAAAAACATATTGCGTTGACTTGCCTCCGAGCCAGGCGCACATGCACAGGTGGTTATACAGAACTTGTTTACAATCTCTAAACTTAAATTTTACAACAAGGGTACATTAACCATTATTATTTACTTACTAAAACACTGTGCCATTAAGCCATAGGACAATTGTACCCACTGCAGTTACATCAAGCCACATGCATTCCCACATAGGAACTGAAATTCATCAAAGCTACATAGCTTCAGTGGAAGGGGTCGAGGTATACAAACCACCCATCCAGCTTTGAAGGAACCTTATCTTCATGTAATATGAAAAACAAATTCCTTAAAATACCATTAAATATCACTACACATAACATTCAAAATGACCTTTAGTAAATATGAAGCTTAATATTTTACTTGATTCTTCTACAATTTAATTGGATAGACCATACCTTTAAGTTCATGAAGCTATTTAATAAAGAGGAATTTAAAAGCAGATGCTCACTGTAGCTGATCCTACTGTGAAAGGTCAGAAACAAGTCAATGACATTTAATTACCAAGTAAATTAAAGATACATTCTATATTCTGTACTGCCTCCTTGTTCTTGCATTCAGTTCCCATGAGCTTTACAGAGAAGAAGAGTACACACATCAGAGACCCATCACATTATTTATTTAAAAACGGAGTAACACAACTGCAGATAACACAGTGAATGTAATGGGCTTAAAAAGAACACACTGGACTTTAGTTAGGCTAAAGATTTTTTTTTATTACATAAAGGTGATAGAATTCTGACATTCACACAATAAAGTGTTCAAATATCTAGGCATATTGAGAACCTTAGGATTTAACTGTTGTCCTCAATTTCAAACACTAAAAGGGATTGCATAATTTTACCTATGAAAAATAAAAAGTCTAAATGAATGATGTAAAGCAATTATGTGCATCCAAATCAAAACAGAGCAGTTCATGAAAACCTATTTGCTTGTTAGCCTTCTTTCATAAATGGATGCACTAATGAAAAAATACAGTTTTAGGTACTGGCAAAATAAAGAAATAAAATTTTAAAGAGTTTTAAAGAGGAGAAGAGGAAGTGTTCTGTAGTCCAACAAAGCAAAACTGGGCAGGCACTGTGTTCTCAGTACAAACAGAAAGCTTAGAGAACAATAGATTTTTGGCAGAACAACACATCATTTTCTGTAAAGAGTGTTTTTAAAGAGACAAAACAAGGGGAAATGTGCATTTTTTACCCATCTATGTTGCTGCACCTCCAACTTTCCTTGTTGACTAATACTTTAATATTATAACTTACTAGCTGTACCGTTGCAGATAAAAGCTAAAGTTGAAGTTATAAATATATTACGATGGGAATGAGGTCTGATGTACCCCAACATAAGTAGGGAGAACGCAGTGTCACTCTCATTTCTCCAAAAAATGCAAGTTAGCAAAAAAAAAAACGTTCAGATTGAAATCTTCTGTGAGTTAGAGTTGACTACTTCAAGAACAGATTGAAACAAAACTAAACAAGTTAGGCCATCAGAAATCCCAACTGAAATATTCCAGGTACAGCATCATAAACAGTACTTAGACTCTGGAAATCCTCTTAACGCAGCAGTGTCATTAAAATATAAAACCATTAGCTGGATGGAGTTGGGAAAAGGTGATTAGCTTGTCCTCTTTAAATAAATGTTGCAAGGAGTTAATACCCATGGGAGACCCAAACACAACTAAGAGAAGTTTAAATAGCTCCTGATAAGAAGGGTTACCCCATAACGGAGAATGAGGCCAGTCCTCATGATTTAACAGCTTATGTACATACCTAAATTATCCCACAGTATTAGATATCAGAAGGGTACCTAGATGAGAACGATTTGCCCCCCTTAAAGGAGAACTATGGGTTTAGGGCTTTTCCCCATAGTTCTCCTAAGGGTAACGGGAGGACACAAACTAGCGTCCTCCCGTCACCCAAAGATCAGTATACCGCGAGCTACAGCTCGCGGTATACTGAGACGCCGCAGCTGGAACGGATCCCGACAATTCTGTCTGGATCCACCCAGCTGCGTGAGTGACAGTTGGCTCTACCTATTTAGAGGCAGAGCCAGCTATACCCGCCCCCTCCCCCGTCCGTTCTGCCAGTCAACGCTGGAGGATCGGACAGGGGAGGGGGGTCCCTGCAGGAAACCGTGAGTGACAGTCACGGCTCTCTGCAGGGATAGATCGAGAAGTGAGCGAGCGCTGGTATGTGTTGGCTCACTTCCCGATCTACTGAGCCGACATGTGACAGTTTCATTGTCACAGGTCAGCTCAGATTATGAGGCTGAGTGAAAATCACTCACCTCATAATTCTCCTTTAACATATTGTTATGTAAGGATTCAAGGGAAGCTACTGTCACAGCATCAGTAGCTGTACAGGCATTGACCTCATCAGGAACTAACCAATCATACAGATACAAGTAGTACAACTGGAAATCAGGGAAAGCCAGTCCAGCCATGGACAGAGAGTTATAACACTCCCAGAGCAACTCTAGGACTTTGATTTTTCCATAAAAAGGATAAACAAATAAAATGAATCTTAAGGAAAAAAGCCAAGGAGACATGAAAGGAGGATACAATGACATTTTAAAATAATTGGGAAGAATCTAAATGCTCTAATCAGAAATAAAGTATCCTTGCCTCTTTGAAGAAAGCCATCATATTTTTAACTCTATTACAATCCTGTCTGATGTGGCAAAACTAGTCATAAACAATTCTAAAATGTCAGGATAGCTACCGTGTTTCCCCGAAAATAAGACAGTGTCTTATTTTTTTTTTCCACAAAATAAGACACTAGGTCTTATGTTCGGGGGATGTCTTATGTGTACCTGGCTGCAGCTGTCCGCTCGTGCGTGCGGATGGGCGTGTGTGCGGGAGGGAGCTGCGGCCACTCTAAGCTGTAATGCCGTCCAGGGAGCTAGACAGGTGGGCGTGCGGGGAGGCGTGCCTGGCGGG